ATGTCATAGTGGCATAATGTTTTATAAATATGGAAAAACCAGCCATTTCACTGAATTCACTACAGTGGCTATATTTAAATAGTTACGTCAATAATCTCAAAAGCCAGCCATTTAACTGAATTCACCGTAGCCACATGGTCACAATAATTATTTACCAAACTTTCCATAGTTACTGTACCATAGTTACCAATCTCAAAGGCCAATAGCTAAATATCTGAAGGATGTATATATATATATACACACACATTGTGATAATTGACCGAAGGAAGTTTAGAAGTCAAACTTCCGACAATATGGACAGATGAAAAGCAGAGAAGGGAAGAGGCAGAGAGAAGAGAAAGATTAGAAGAAAAAAGAGTAGAAGAGAAAGAGTAAGAAGAAAGAAGATGCAGATGCGAGAAGTAGGAAAGTCGCGAAACACTGTGTTTTTCCAAAAAAGTAGGCTCGCTAAAGCGGCGGGTGCGGAGCCAGCTGGCCAGATGAGAGATGAAAAATTGCACGCCGTTGTGGCGCGATGCACATTTCCAAGTCAAAATGCCAAAAACACCTGAACGCCGGACCACTTTTGGAAGTTGAGATGTTCAAAAAATGCACGCCGTTGTGGCGCGAAGCACATTTGGAAGTCAAAATGTACAAAGCACACCAGGTTCAGACCACTTTTGGAAGTTGAAATGTCGAAAAAGTGCAAAGCACATTTCGAAGTCAAAATGTTAAAAGCACCACATGTTCGGACCACTTTTGGGCGTTCAGATGTCGTTTCGCGTGGCAGGCGCAAGGGATTGTGCAGCGTGTCAAAAATGAGCAAAACGTAAGGGTTGTGTAGTATTTCCAAAAACGATGGCAAGCGTGGGACATTTGAAGAGGATCTGGAAAGATGCATTTCGCATGGCAGGCGCAATACAAGAGACATGTTCATCAGAGATGTTGGGAGGTCCGGGTGCTGATTTTCTGAGAGGGGTTGCATTTTGGAGCATCACGTCGTTAGTTTCGGGAAGATGATTTTTCCGTGACAGGTGCAGCACTTCGTATGACCCGGCATCACTTTTTCGTGGCAGGCGCAGTGCTTTAGACAGGTGGAATGGAAAAATCGCAGAACGCCTTGATACGAGGCCATCAGCTCTGCACTCAACTTTCCATTTTTGAAGGACGTCTCGCAAGAATTGTTTCGCTTTTGATGTTGTCAAGTTCAAAAATTGACGAAGTATCGTGGAGTTGTTCGTTTTTGATGTTGTCAAGTTCAAAATTGAGGAAGTCTCGCAGAATAGCTTCGTTTTAAATCTTGCAGGCAGATAGATGGATAGATGGATAGATGGATAGATGGATAGATGGATGGATGGATGGATGGATGGATAGATAGATAGATAGATAGACGACTACAACTACACCTACAACTACCACTACACTACACTACAACAACATACTACAACTACAAATGCAAATAGATTACGGTATATTACACTACACTAATTACATTGCACTACACTAAATTAAATCTAATTACATCTAATTACACCTAATTACATCATATTACATCTAATTACACTACACTACACTACTTACACTACAACTACAACAGCAATAACGACAACAACAGCTGCTGCTGCTGCTGCTACTGCTACTACTACTACTACTACTACTGCTACTAGTACCACCACCACCACAGCTACAACTACTACCACCACAGCTACAACTACACTTGCAATTACGCTACATTAGGCTACTCTGCGCAAATTACACTGCAGCACGCTACAACTACAACTACACTGCATTACACAACACTACACTACACTACACTACATTACAACTACAACTACACTACTTCACAGCACACCACACTAGGTTACACTACACTATACCACACTAGAGTACGCAACAGTACAGTACACTACACTAATTACATCACACCACAACTACGACTGCAACTACACTACACTAATTACACTACATACAACTACAACTCCACTACACTACAACTACAATTACAACTGCACTACGCCACACTGCATCCAGGAGTTGTGGTGGGTTACCTCTGCAACCATTGCAACCACTCCAAAAATCACAACTCCAACCACTTGTCGGTCCATCAGTGGATTCGCTCTGCCATCCGTGATTCACAACAACCAACCTCTCCTATAGGTTTCCTATTTTTGAAACTTCCGCCACCGCCTTGCGCGGTGCTACTGGTATATCACCATAGCTGCCATTGTATCCTATAGTAAATATATGTATAGTCAATGTTAAGCCCATAGTTCAATATCATAGAATCAATTAGTTTCCACTGTACCATAGTTTCCTTAGTTACCTCAATTAACTATAGTTACTATACTAATACTATAACACCACATTTACCACTTAGTTATCACCATAGTTACTAGAGCTATCATAGTTCAACATCCATCGCTTCAGTTCTCCCAGGTTTCGCCAAGCACCTCCTGCTGGGTCGCTTCCCGAAGCGGAAGTCCGGCCCGGTGGATCCGCTGGGCGCCGCAGATGTCGCAGA